CAAAATTCAGCTCTCTAGCTCTTATATCTTCTGAGATCTCGGCGTTCATACGGACGGACAGACGGACAGGGCTGTATCGACTCAGCTCGTCGTGCTGATCAAGAATATATATACTTTATGGGGTCTGCGATGATTCCTTCTGCCTGTTACATACTTTATCACAAAAACATTATACCCTGATTTCCCATTTTCCATGGGTTCAGGGTATAAAAACGGGGGAAATTCAAACTGTAGGATACATGAAGCACATATATCGCATGTAAATATAAACTTAATTGCGCAAAAAACTGAAGCAAATAAGTCAAACAAAAACGCACATTTCCATATAGTTTCCATGCAAACAAAGCGAGGCTCCACAAGCGACAGCGGCAACGAAAACTGCAATTGCGAGTTTTCCCGATTGGAGATATAATTATGAAAAGCGCTGCTGCCATAGAAATTGTAATTGAAATGCGAGTTCGGTTTGTTTTCCTCTTTGCTTGCGTATTCAGATTGAAAGCAGAGAAGCCAGTGAAAGGCAGAGAGGAAGGGAGAACGAGAGCTAGAAAAGTGGACTAAAAAAAAGTGTGCACACATATAAAATCAATTTAATTAATATACATATTGAAATCAGAAAACAGCTGAAATGTCGGCAATAAAAACCAGCAAAGGAATAAAATCGGAATAGTTGCATGAAGTTACAGCTCAGGCAAATTAAACAAGTAAAAAGGCTCTAGTCGAGACTGCTCGACTAGGAGATCCCCTGAACCCTCCAATCTAATATTCTACTCAATTCTAAATTTCTAGACGTACGATCTTAATGAAACTATCAGAACGTAAACATAATGTTTAAATGTATGTGTATACCGAAGCACAAGTCTCTAGTATTTGAAATACGCCTTTTACAAAAGTGAGGGTGAGGGGGTGAATTTAGGGGTGGGCGGTAAAATATAACAAAAACCGAAATTATATAAAGTACACATAAGTCTACATTTAAAATTTGGAAGCTCAAGCTGTAATTGTGTAGAAGATATAATTAAATAACAATTTTTCGATACTAAAACATCAGGATTTGTTATCGATTTTTAGTGATAAACTTTATATGTGCGTGATATACACGGACCTAGGAAAAAATTTCAAGTCTCTAGTTTTTATATCTTCTGAGATCGACGCGTTCATACCTACGGATCGACAGACAGACAGACAGGGCCAAATCGACTCAGCTCGTCGCCCTGATCAAGAACATATATACTTTGTGAGGTCTGCCACGCCTCCTTCTGCCTATTACATACTTTTAACAAAACCAACATACCCTGATTTCCAATTTTCAATGGGTTCAGGGTATAAAAATGATAGCTTCAATTTAAAGCTAATCGCGATAAAGTTAAAGAGTTGCACAATTAAAATAAAATTCTCACTTTGAATGAGCGATCGAATTGATTTCTTGTCAGTCCGTCATATAAATGGCAATAAAAAGTGAGCTGGAAGAGAGATCCTTTCTGGACCGCCTCTTTAAAGCTGAAGACAAGGGAAAATGGAAAATATAGACATCAATTTGTGTAAATCGAAACTAGATTTCCTTTTGAAAACCGCTCCGTTTCCAAGTGAAGGGAAGGGCAAGCACGTCTAGTCTATTCTTTGAATTGTCTGAATTTTTTGCTAGAGTTAGAAAGGATTACGCAAAAAGTAAAACTATTCAATAATATAAAAACCGAAAATCTCTTATAAAATAAATAATTTGTTAATTTGTTTGTTAATAAGAGCAATTAATATAAAATATAATGCATTATACTCACATTTAAAGAATGTTTTCCGTAAGACCCATAAATATAAGTAAAGCATAAATTTTCTTAGTGGTTTTCGTTTGCTTTATTTTCTATGCTTTCAGATTTATTTTGTTTGCTATAATACATTCCTCAAATTTTCTACTTTTACACTGGGCCGCAGCTACTTCACATTATTAGAAAATACTTATATTTATTTATTATCAGCAAAGGGGCATAAATCGAAATTTTGGTTATTTGCTTTTAGCTAAACTTTGAGTATTAGGCTCATGCTTAGAATATTTTCAGAATACCTCAGATGATGATGATGATTCAGAAAATGCTTTAAAAATTTAAAAATTTATAGTAATTAAATGAGATATAGTTGGAGTAAACGAAAATTATGGACAAAAACCAAAACACTGGGCCAATAATAAGCATCAAAGGGTGGGTACAGGGTATTACCTAGTTGTATACTTCATTTGAAAGTACGGTTAATTGGTATGTTCTTTGTAATGGTTGTTATTAAATTTGAAATCCTGGTTTCAGTTTAGTGATCAAGTTTTGATTAGCATTTACAGAAATTTTCGATTGCCTTAACTTCTTAATTGTACAAACATTTCCATTTCCATTTTCGGCATTAATTTAATACAAGCTTAATTAAATGAATTAATTGTAATTTAAAGCCCCTCTGCCAGCGCACATGCTTGACTTGTTCTGGTTGCTTTCTAAAATAACTCTATTTACTCTTTACCATTCGCTAAAAAGAAGCTCAGTGCGTGTCTGGTGCGAATGATTTTCTATTTTGTTGTATTCTTTTAATTTGTAATGTTTATACTGTTATGTTTTTCGCATTTTAGTTCCTTATATAAATTTGAAGTACGGCTCTAAGATAAGCGCTGACATATATGCTACACAACAAGACGCATTCACCTAGACACATAGAAATCAACAACATCAATATGCATGCGTGTACCTCTGTGTGTGTGTGTGTATTGGTTGTGTGTACCATGCGATTTGTGTACAAAGAAAACATTTTTATTGTGTATATTTAGATAAATTAATCAGTTGCTTAGGTGCAGCCGCAGCACTGCTGCGTTATAATTTTTGGACATTGGGACTGCACAAATATTTGCTCTCTTTTTTCCGTTTTTGGCAATTTGTTTCACATTTGTCAATATAATTTATTTGTTTTTTCTTTGCAGGTACCTGATACTTGAATATCAATTACGGGACAGGCTGTGGGTAAAAGCAAATTATAGAGCATTGGCGTGTAAAAGCGCCTAAAAGCGAGCTACGCACTACTGCAAAAAATGTTAGTGATTGAGCTCTTAGCATATACATATATGTATATATATCTAAACACACCGATACAAGAATGGCAAAAACTTTGAGTTCACTTCAAGCCTAAACACACACATAAATAGTTTATCATATTAATAGCTTATATATGTATATATCATATATATATATAAATTATCTTGTAAATATTTGCTAATTTTTTTCTTGAATTTTGTGTTTGCTTTGATTTTGTTTTTATTAATGTCTAGTACTTAGCCTAGCTGTAGCTTTAGTTTTGTCTTAAGTAGCTTTGGTTTACGTTTTTCTTTTACCATTTGTTTTTAACACTTAGGGTTTTGGCAATTGGAGCTTCGGCCTTGTTTGGCGTGAGCGCCATTTGTTGCGCCGAAAGACTCCAATTATTGGACGAATTGTTGATATACGTTGCGGTTTATGCTCAAAAAGTGAGAGTAATAGAGACAGAAATAGAGTAGGTGAGAGAGTGTATTTGTGAAAGATTTGACTGACTTGTCTTGAGTATAGTATTGCGTTGAGTATCAGAAATATTTCAAAGATAAAACCATAAAATGTATGCTAGGAAATGTAAAATTTATTTTAAAATAAAAATTTTATGTAAATATTGTTACAAAAAATTCCTTATTAAATAAAAAAGTTTAAATCAATGAATGGACTTCAAATAAGCTTTGAAAACAGATTTAAAATGGCTACAATTAAATTTCGTATTTCAAATAATGTGTGAACAGAAAAACGGAGTTGGCCCTTATGCCATGTGCTGCCGGTATTAATTGATGATGATGAGTCTAGGTGGTCGTTTATGAAAATAACGAAAAAATTTGTTTGTTAAGCTGCGCATACTTTAAGCTTAAAGGCAAGACGCTTGAACATGGTCGTTTAGGTAGTTAAGAGAAACAATCACATACAACCGCATACTACCCTCCAATACACACACATTGCGTTGCCCACATATACACACTCTACTTGGCACACAATCATATGCTTCGACAAGCACAAGTTTCAATTTGTTGCACTTTTTCAGCATTAAGTAGATGCCTTGACTTTAATGGAATGTGTGTGTGTGTGAGTGTGCAATGCAATGTGTTTGTATTTAAGCGTGTGCGTTGGCCGGCAAAGCGGTTTAGTTGCATTTTGGCCTCTAAAAGCATCTAGTATTTGTATTTTGCAGCTATTTGTTTTCGGCTTTAGTTCTACCCTTGCCTTGGTCCTTTCGGATGGACCAAGAATTGCCATAAATGTAATAAAACGAAATCGGGTTACATGAAAAAGATCTAATTAAAAAATATTTTGTTCTACAATAAATTAAAATATAAAGATAATATACCTAAAAAAATCAAACTGTTTTTTTTTTTTTTAAGTCTGTGGCATGATTTATCAATTCCTGCAAGGGCGTTTGGCTTTCGGTAGACCGAAGCGCACTGTTTTTGAATATTTTGATTTTATGTTACCCTGCTTACTTTTTTTTTTAAGTTTTGGTTTTGGTTTTTGTTCGTTGTTTGCACAACATCGAAAGCACACGAATTAAGCACGTTTAGATCATTTAGTTAAAATTACAAATTACGCACTAGTACACACATAGAAATTGGTATAGCAAAAATAAAAAATGTGGCGACAAAGTGCCCAGCGTTTGCAGTTCCTACAAGTTCTGAAAAGTATGCTGCACTTTTCGTATTTCATTTTTCTTCTATCACGTTGGCCACAGCATTGCGAAATTTCACTACTTAATGTTTAGGTTAGAGAATAGAGAGTATGCACAGTAAATACTCAGCTTACAATGTTGGGACGTACTAAATGGGCGTGGCTAGAGGAATCACAGGGCGTCTGGATGCCTGGATGCCTATGAGTTGGTGAGCTTGGACGGCGGTGGCGGCCATTGCCGCTTGATAACAGCAAAGTGCGTCATTTGAAAGGTGTTTGTCAGCTGGCAGCGACGCTCGACAAATCCAGTTAGACAGTAGCCCATGTTGTAATCCTCCATCGATATGTTCGATGTCAGATACAGCTTGAACTCATCATTGTATGCCAGCTGTGACTTCGACTTTGACTGCGAGTTTCTATTTGGACTAGCAGTAGCTGCGGCCCCTCTTCCACCTCGAAATATGGCTCCTGCAGCTGGTCCTGCTGCTGTCGCTGCTGCTGTTGTCCCTCCACCCAGTGTTGGTGGCGTTGCTGTTGCTGCCATTGTTGCGGCTGTTGCAGCACCGCCTGTCGCTGTTATTGACGGCCTGCGAAAGTATCCGGCAATCAGCAGAGAGCCCTGCTGGTCCATGGGCAGCATCCTGGCCTTGGTGGCCTGCCGCTGCGTGCCAGCGCACTCGACAATGCGACAACGGTTCGGCTGCCACCAGCAGGGCGTGATGGTCCAATAGCTGGATGAGGCGGTGCGCGCCCAGCCTTCCTCCGGATACAGCAATATCTGTGTGCGAATGCAAAGCAAAGAGAAATCGAGTGAGATTTTAGCCAGTGCCAATTGCAAATTGGTTTTGTGTATCGCTGCTGTCGCTGCCCTAATTGAAAACCGTAATTAAAAAGTGCAAACTGCCCCACATTTGCATCCGCAGCAACTACAGTAGCCGTTGAGTCATTGCTTAGCTCCCAAAGATATTTATGTCTGCCACTAAGTGCCAGTCCTTAGTTGTGTGGAAATTTCGACAAAAGCGTAAACACGAGCCGAGTGTATTTGCTAAGCCTTACCAGTAAGTAAATTTTTACTCATTGGTCTATTACTTGATCTTCATATGTTGACAAGGTTGCAAGGGCTAGCGTTCATCTGCATATTATTAAAGTCTACATTTGTTTATCCTCGTCTATTTTCTCAATCGCACAAGAACTGTTCATGCCTGAGCAGTGAAGCCTAAATCCTAAATTGCTTATGCTTGAATTTCAAATAAATAAAGTACATTTCCATTAGGGCCTAAGCTCTTCAAACCTATTGATTCAATGATATAAGATATGCAGATTGCAATCGGAATATTATTATTTATATGATAATAATTGTTGACAGTTTAAAATGTATGTGATAGCAAATATGTGTATGTTACTGGTGTAGAGAAGCTAACCGATGCTAATTTAACTGCGAATTAATCGATTTCTTCAATTTGTTGCCGGCGCTGTGCATTTTATTATACCCTGAACCCATTGAAAATGGAAAATCAGGGTATAATGGTTTTGTGGAAATGTATGTAACAGGCAGAAGGAGGCGTGGCAGACCCCATAAAGTATATATAT